TCTTATGTTCATGTACTTGTGCGTAAAAAATAGAAAATTCTTAGAATTCTAAAAGATATTAACATTTTTGAAAAATTGCAAAATTGTTCCACTTTTCTGGACTTTTTAAAATTTTGTATTGATATAACAAAGTTTGAGAATTTTAAATTTTTTGAAAATTTTGAAAACATTAACGTCCAAAAATTTGTTTAATCTTCAAGAATTACGAAAATTTTTTAAATTTTCAAAAAAGACAAAATATGAAAATGTTTTCAACATTCGAAAACTTTTAATTTCGTTTGATCAATTTTGTATATTCGACACTTTCACTTAAAAAAATTTTGTTAGAATTCCTACAATTCTCAGAATTTTTGAAAAATAAAAAATTTCTAGAAATCTAGTATTCATCATTATATTGAATTATTGGGGTTTACTAAAATTTCTCAAATTCACAAAGTTTTGATAGTTTGGAAAATTTTGGAATTCCACTCAAGTTATTAAAAATAAATTAAAACTAACAAAACTCTAAAAACTTTTAAACTGCGGTAATTTTTAAATTTATGTACACGATATATGTCTAATGAAGTGCAAGTTTCAAATGGCTAAAAAGTTGCGTTGATTTTTGATAATTTTTTTTTTTTCGAGGCAAATTTTTAGAAATGTTATTGCCGACGGTCTCCCGCGTATTATTTCATAAGAAATTCATACTTATATGAAAAAAAGTTGAAATTTTGTTTAATTTTCATAAATTTTGTATAAAGTTTGAAACTGTGATTTACACGGTTTTGGTTAAAGCTTATACGATATTTTTATATAAAAATAACAAAAAAATTTAGCTCGAAAAACAACGAATATTTGAAGAAAAATAACACGTGGTCATTTGTTTGAGTCACTGTATGTTTACACATCAAATTGCATGAGTACCAAATACCCACACCTTTTTAAGAAGTTTCACTTATATCATGTGTATTTACGGTGCTACACACGCCTTTTTTCAAAATTATTTTTGATGCAGAAATGTTCCTAGAGCATCTAGATGCATTTCTGCATCAAAATCAAAAATACGTGAAAATGTCGCTTACATCTTTTTGATGTTTAGGGCTCGTATGATGTATAAATACATTTTTTTTCAAAATTATTTTTGATCCAGAAATGTTCCTAGAGCATATAGATGCATTTCTGCATCAAAATAAAAAAAAATTTAGAAAATGTGGCTTACATCTTTTTGACGTTTAGGGCTCGTATGTATGTATACATATGTATATGTGTATTTTCAACCAAAATACAATCGTAAACTACTACTGTTTAACTTATTTACTGTGTACACTTCTGACGAATTCAAAGGTACAACAGATGAATCTGCAGAAACAGTTTTTGAAGACATTAATGCGGAAATACAGATTTATTTTAAAAAATCAGAAAACAAAAGTTGTGACGATGTTTTAAAATTTTTGGAGAAAGCTAAAGATTTTCCACTTCTTAGAAGCTTTTCAAGGCAAATTTTACACATACCATCTACCTCAGCAACTATTGAAAAAGTTTTTGTTTGTGTCAGGCAGAATTCTAGAAGAAAGACGGACACGAATGCTTGGTGAAGACCTTGCAAAAATATGAATTTCAAACAAAAGTATGAGCTAATGTAATTTTAAAATTACATTGAATGATTATTGTTTTGAATTCCTTTCTATACTCGTAACACATACCCTGCAAACCAAAGTTCCCGTAATCTTAACGAAATCTTTAGGAGTATCTCATTTCTGTAACGATTTTTTTACGAATCTTCAAAGAAAATTATATGAAGGAGTTGACACGAACTCATAAAGAAATTGCTGTACGAAAAATAAAGGAAATTCTGAAAAAATTCTTCACATAGCAGCATTATTTTCATTGCTTTGCCGATTTTCTTCCGAAATTTCGNCATTTCTGTAACGATTTTTTTACGAATCTTCAAAGAAAATTATATGAAGGAGTTGACACGAACTCATAAAGAAATTGCTGTACGAAAAATAAAGGAAATTCTGAAAAAATTCTTCACATAGCAGCATTATTTTCATTGCTTTGCCGATTTTCTTCCGAAATTTCGTAAAATAATCGAAGTGTGCACAGTTTATTTAATTTTAGAAAATTCGGCAAAAAATCGGATGAGATCTTTACGAATTCTTTAAAATTTCTCTACAATTCAGAATAGTCTGAATATCTGAAAAATATAATAGCGCATTCATCCTAGGCAAGGCGTTTGGCGAAGCTTTTGTAACAATATTTATATGAAATTCTATTTATATAAATAAAACTTCAATTTGAAAAAAAAAAATGTCCGTGAAAAAGCGTAAGTGAGCGTGCGTGATTAAAAAACAAGGTGATTTACAAAATCGTCAACATGACCGTGCGTGAACTTGAGCCAAAATCACTCACGCGCCTCTCTATTTGCAAGTAATGATAATAATCTTACGGTAAAAATTTGGCCCTAAAGCGGTTTTGCAAAATTTTAATTTTTAATTGCATAAACGATTTTTAAACTTCGAATTAAAAAAGAATTTATTTACCGTTCTGTTCAATGGATTTTGCTTAAATTTGGTATGAGTAGAATACATTAATCCTACTTTTGAATAAAAAATATTGGTTTGATATGGTAGCTAACTTGTTTACAATAGCAACAGTTATTATATACAAATCATATGTGTAATACTCCTATATTGGCAGTAAGAGCTAGTACCGTCCGAAAACATTACAGTACAGATATATCAATGAACACGTATGTACGAACGGAAAGGAACACATACGTTTATAAATAACACAACACATACACAAAAACGGCAGTCATGTACACAATACATTCACAAAAACGGTACTATGCCATATTTTGACGCCAAAATTTGGCGAAATTTTTTGACACAACTTTATTTCCTTTATCCATACCTTTACCGATGATATTATGGGCCTAAAACTGACAGNTCTATTATTTACATTTATGGTTCCTGATTAACTATATTATTTACTGGTGATTACTTCTTCAATAAATTACAATACAGAAAAAAGTCATCTGACTTCCAACTAAGTGAAAAATAACTGTAAAATGGAAAACTGAGAGTGAGTGCAAAACTGTAACATTTGTNTTATTTGACGACAAATGCCACTGAATTTGACATAGTGAAAACCAGCCTTTACACTCTGAGAAGTTAGCTTATTGCCAATATAGAAGTGTATTACATATGTACGGCGACGGGAAAAACTGTAACATGGTGTAACACTTTTTACTTCAGTCATCACTATCTTTCCAAGTTCTAACGACATTCATACTTTTGTTGTATGTTATTATTCGTACACCTGTACTTCCTCTCTCATAATGATTTGAAGTCAATCCAACAACAATAATAAAACCGGCAGAGAAAAATGTAAATTAAGGCAGATGTTACAGTTTTGCACTCATATATTTTGAAGAACTTTTTAACAATTTTAACGAGAAAAAAGAACTACTAACACAATGTTCAGTACCCTTTTGCTTGTTTTAGTTTCTGGGTGCGATTTGGCATACCTTATTTTTATCTCTGTAAAACTTCTGGAGGTATATCCTCCATATATCCTTAGTTTGCTTTCACAGCTCATGTACTCGATTATACGGACTTGGATACTTAATAAGCTGTGCTTCTAGTTGATTTCGCAAATTCTCGATGAGATTTATGTCCGCGGATTGTGGAGGTAATTTCAAATTAGCAATTTTTTTATTTTGTATCCAGTCTTTGCGAACATATGCAGTATGTTTTGGGTGATTTTTCAGCAGAAGCTCTCATTTTTCGACTACATCTTGCAAATTTTGTTGAAATATGAACAGATACTGTTCCTTACGCATAATGCGTACTAACGGACCAACAAAATTGTTTAAATACAACCCCAAACTATTATTGACCGACCACTGTGATTCACAGTTTGCCTCACATGTTGCGCATGGGCTTAATTTGGGTCTTTGATCCAATACCATGCCCGGCCATCTGATTGAAAGCAATTAATTGAATCTTGCCAGACCAAATAACCTTCAATTGAAACTTAAAAATATGTTTTTTATTGCATCCTGAAAGGCCTAACATATCGCAATAGGCAACGGTTCGCTTCTCGGGCGACACAGCAAAATGCTACCACTCTCGCACATATATTTTGGTCAAATTAGCTTTTTTCTTCATTTAAGATGCCTTTGCGCCAATTTGGCAATTCGTCGCCTCGCTGTCTACTGATTTGCATTAAAGTTTAATACCTTAAGCGCTTCTGTAATAGTGGCTGCATCGCTACTTGCTGCTAAGTTCACAAGATATTGGACCGTAATATTTTTTGATAGACTTCCTTTGCCCTTGGGAACACTTTAGGTTATATTTTTTATCAATCTAAATATTTTCAAGTAGCAAACTCCACAATTTTTTGCCACTTTCCTGCGGTCCCGCCTTTCCACAGTAAATCTATTATTTACATTTATGGTTCCTGATTAACTATATTATTTACTGGTGATTACTTCTTCAATAAATTACAATACAGAAAAAAGTCATCTGACTTCCAACTAAGTGAAAAATAACTGTAAAATGGAAAACTGAGAGTGAGTGCAAAACTGTAACATTTGTCCTAATTTACATTTTTGTCTGCTGGTTTTTTTATTGTTGTTGTATTGACTTCAAATCGTTATGAGAGAGGGAGTAGGGATGTACCAACAAGAATATACAACAAAAGGATGAAAGTCGTTAGAACTTGGAAACATAGCGGTGGGTGAATTAAAAAGTGTTACACCATGTTACAGTTTTGCTCTTTACTGTATATGATACAAATACACTTCTCATCCGGGTTCAATATTTTTTCTGGGCAATTACGACTTGTTGCTTTATTCCGAAGAATTAAAGAAAAACCCGTATCTTCAACAAAAAAAAAAAAAAAATGGATTTTCAGACTCAGCGACGACATTGCATGAATTATTTGTAAACCTGTGTAGTTAGTAAATAAAGATGCAATACTTAAAATAAATACATGCTCTCGCTCAATTCCAGTATGGCATATGGAACGGAATATGGACTTGTTGTAATTGACATTGTACAAAAAATTTGTTTACTAAGTGTGGCGTGCCCTGATTTGTACGGGGCCAATGATCCATACTCCAGGAATCCTAAGAGTCCGAAGCGCATTGAAAATAAAGAAGAACAAAGTCGATCACCCAGTTCTGATCAGGTAAGTGGAGCCAGTTCCCTTATTTGGCCACATCTTACATTTTTTTCTGTTTCTGAATTTTATTCGTATTTCATTTATTTACTTACATACATACGTATACATTGCCCATAGACGCGCATACATCTCACGTAATTATAGTCATTAATATAATAATTTTTATTTATTTTGTATTTGTAATCGAAGTTAAAAAATAGCTTTGTTCCCTGATACATTTTTGAATGTTAGTTTATTTAGCGAATGTGTGAACATATACATTATAATTTCTTTAATTTAATGTTCGGTTCGCATGCACGCAGAGAATCGTAGATAATATAACATCCAATTCCCGCGTAGGCAAAATAAAACAGAGTTGATAATGTTGAGGCTAACTTTTGAAATTATATAAATGTACGAAATTTTTACTCATCTCAATTTGAAATGCAGAGATGTGTTTGTTGTTTCGGAAAATTCTACCAAATTTGCAAATTACCGACATTCGTGATTTTTTTGGCATTTTGGGTTTAAGTATTTGCCAATTGGTTGGATCATATACCATCTGAAGGCTTTGCCATGGCCGAGAACTATTGATATATTTCTATATACTATAGGCTAGTAAAGTTGCTAGTAAAGTGTCAAATAAGAATTACTTTTAAGGCAGGAAGACACGATTAAATTGGCTTCAAATTGTATTCATATATTTTTAAATTTCATACGCGTCACACATCCCTACCAAAAGGGACTGCGTATAAACCGACATAAATACCAGTAGTTTATAGATAGTTTTTCTGGTGTATTTGGTAATGTTAGGTTAGGAGAGTGTGGAATATTCCATACTTTCACTCGGAAACAGAATTTTCCATTGTGAGTGCCCTCTTCAAGCGACTGTCAGGGGAAACACGTACCCATAACCGAGAGTGACGCTAGGTACTTCCAAGTCATTATTCTAGTATCCCTAATGGGGCCAAGGATATCAAACAGTTCCACCTTCTCTATCTCGACCAGACTGTGGAAGAAGCGTGAGTCCAAGTGCTTGAGGCGCTTCGACTGTAGACCTGGATATCGACACAGAAAGTGGTCAATTGACTCTTCCTCATCCTCATAACGGCAACTTCCGCAGAGACTACTTGCTAGTATTCGCTATAACGTCCTTTGACCTATTGAGTTTTAGTACGTTCCTCACAGCCTTTCCGTTAGTCACGACCACGGTGTATGCATAAATTTTCTCAACGTGATCTCAAAATGGGTGGTACAACGGAGCTATCGCCTTCTCCTATTGGAATCTCTGGCCCGTATGTGGCCATCTTATCAACCGACTCATTCTCTTCAATATTGCTAAGTAAGGGGACACACCTGAATAACTCAGTGAGAGGGCAGACCAGGATGTTTGCATGTATTTATTTATAAAAAAATATTTATTCGAACAAGAAATTGTGGGTAGGCACTGTGGCCCATGGTAATAATCATTTACCATCTCTGCATGATTGTAAGTATGCAGAGTCCGCGAAAAACTCCTGAAGCATTGTGCGAGATGCAATCCCCAGGCCGAGAATCATACTTACTTAAAGAGGTGGGTAGACACAGTGCCAATGGTATCTATATGTACCATCTCTGCATGGCTGCATCTAATTCTTCTTTGGTCTGGAGTCTAATAGGTACCTTAGTATTGGAATCCTAAATAGGCGTAATGTAATCAGTGCTGGTTTCTTCTAGATATGTCAGCGGCTCGGTCCCTTTTTATTTCATTCAGTATTGCTGCATGCACGAAATTAGCTGCCTCTATGAGTCTGTGCGCGCTCCTTGCGGGCGTACCATGGGTGAAAATATGCAGTCTTTTCACTTTTCCTATTATTTTGCTTTTACTCTCTTTGTCGAGAGTCCTCGCTTTGTCTGATGTCTGTGGTTTACATTCCATAGTCCCCATTGCTTTCCAAATGTCCTTTTGCGCGTGTAGTATGCTGCTAGAAATTTATTAGCTCTATCCTCTTCATTCCTTTCCAATTAAACTTGGAGTCCAGTATGATTCGGAGCTACTTTGCCTCGGAGGAGAGATTAAAAGTAGTTTCCATAATTTCGGCAGAGAAAAAGCGGCTTATTTTGTTTTCCTAGTGAACAATACCAGTTCTGTCTTGTAGAGGTTAACCCCCAATCCATTCTGGTTAGCCCACTTAGAGATATCGTTCAGCGCATCTTCCATTAGTTCACTTATCGTTGACAAGAATTTGCCTGTGATGAGTAGTTTTAAAAATCGTCAGAACTTCGTTGTTGGTTTGGAGAGCTTTGTAGAGTTTTTATTCTTGTTCGGATTTAAGTATTTGTCGAAGTCAAGACATCACAAAATGCTGACTTTAGCAGTGAAGTTTTCACGACCTACAGATTTTTATCCTTCCATTATGGTGAAAAAGATGCGATTACTTTTCAACGCAGATATTTACTAGCTTTTCATACAGAAATGAAATGTACTTCTAATTTCTCGTGAAGAAGATAGTACCTAAAAAGGCATTCTTTTCAGAACCACACTCTGCACGGTTCGACTGGTTTTTTGTAAGCTCCAACATAGAATGAAGTAACATGTATAACATAGGAGACTGTTCAAGAAATTAACTGCCGCCTGCTTCCATCAATGCGCTTTTACTTTTCCACACCAATATTGGTTCTACTTAAAATTGAAGTCACCCACTAAAGCCTTTGCTTCTTTGGTAAGCACTTCGATTTTTGTATCGATGTAGTAACGCCTTACAATACGCCTCAAGACGATATTTTACATTTATAAGCTTACCCATTCATGCAGTGCGGTGGGTAAGAAATTGTACACTTATTTTCTTACCTCTAATGACATACCCAGTTAAAGTAATGCAATATGTAGACTTGAAGTTAACTGATGTATCTCTAAGATTTCGTCTTGAGGCGTATTGTAATTTGTTACTCCATCGATACAAAAATCGAAGTGCTTACCAAAGAAACCAAGCTTTTCTGGGCACGTAGTCTTGTTTTTAGGTGCTACGCATCTATATGTGTGTATATACTATATATACATATCGTTAGTATAGTCAGGGTGTCCAGATTGTTTAAAAAGATAAGAGCCATTTCCGAAAAAAAATCGCCAAAAATAGCCTTGACACACAAAAAAATCCCTCGAAAATTTTATTTCAAAATTTTAATGTAGTTGATTGATTAGTCCTTATTAATCTATATCTATACTATTATATAAAATTGATTATATGGAGTACGTTTGTAACGACTTATTTCTCAAAGTACTAAACCGATTTTAATATTTTTTTTTGTAAACGAAGCATTTGTAAAAAGACGCAGAGTGGCATACTTATATTTTTTTATTCTTGGAAGATAAGCACCCTTTTTTTGGGTGTAAAGTTACAAAAAATTACAAAGACGTACAAGCATAAGCCTATTTGGTTGCCAAATACAGCGCATAGCTACGCGAAAAATCTGTACATCAGTGCCGATCAAACACGAGCTCACAAAGGCAAAAGAGATGTGTATGAGCGACGTGACTGCGCTATACCACATACATACACACATAAACGTATTTGAGCTAAACAGCGATCACTGATTGAACATGCTAAATACATACATATGTATGTGTGAACACATTCATAACCGAAAGGCAAAGCATCGCTTCGAAGTCATGGCAGTATGTGGTTGACACAACAAACTACCCTGCAGTACGGGGGAGTGACTACAGGACTGCTGAATGGGTAGCTCCCTGATAAACACCGTCAATTACCGACCGACTACTTGCAGTGTATTTCATCGATTACTTTTACAAGGCAATGTCCTAGGCGGTAGTCACCATCGGCTCTCTCTGCACTACCTGGAGTTACTAAAGTAGTCACTTGCGTGATTTATGGGCGCCCTCTGTCGTAGTTTTTCGCTATTCTGCTTACGACTGGTTCGACTCTGCACTACCATGTGCACTACCACGGGTTAATAGAGTAGCTACTTACCTAGGAGTCGGTGCAGTAGCGGTTCAAAAGTAGCGATTGACTCCAGCAGTACTGGAGGGTAATTATATGTATGTATGTATCCAAGTATGTCCATACACAGAGTTCAAATCAAACGAAACATTTCACGAATGATTCGTCCAAAGACACAAACTTTGCAAAGAAAAAAGAGTGCAAACAAAACGATTTCTGTTTCGCTCATTGACGAGCATTGGTAGATCGTTTTTCGTACAGATGAAGAGTGTAATCAGCTACAGCAATTTTTATTCGAAAATGAACCAAAGCTAACATCAGAGCAGTTATTAATATGTATATGATAAGATGATATCTAGCGTAAAAAATAACACAGGATATGTTTTTTTTATAGACGCACCTGGAGGAACAGGCAAGACGTTCGTTACTTCACTACTTTTGGCTAAAGTTCGTAGCGAAGCCAAAATTGCTGTTGCTGTAGCCTCTTCTGGCATTGCTGCTACTCTTCTATGTGGGGGAAGACTGCTCACTCCGCGTTCAAGCTACCTCTTAATTTTTCACCAGAACAACCCTGTATATGTTCGATAAAAAAAATAGTGCCGCCGCTGTTGTGTTCCAGAAAGCATCGCTAATAATATGGGATGAGTGTACAATGTCACATAAGTGTCATATCGATGCCGTGAATACAACACTTAAAGATTTAAGATCTTCTCCGGCGGTAATGGGTGGAGTTACTTTTGTATTCACAGGAGATTTTAGGCAAACATTACCGGTGGTCCCTAAGGGCACACGAGCAGATATTGTGAACGCGTGCTTTAAAAAGTCTGAAGTATGGTCACATACACAAAAATTAAAATTGTCTACCAATATGCGAGTTCAGCTTAGTAGAGATGGTCGTTCAAATCAGTTTGCTGAATACCTACTAAAAATAGGCAACGGCTCCACATCCATAACTCGCGACGGTTATATTACCATTACGGATGTTATGGGAAACTGTGTTACAACGATTGAGCAACTTATTGATCATGTATATCCAGATATGAATTATTTGCAGCACAAACACTCCAGCTGGCTATGCGAGCGAGCTAT